ACTGCTGTATACAGTCTCTCTGTATCCCACTTTACTGCTGTATACAGTCTCTCTGTATCCCACTTTACTGCTGTATACAGTCTCTCTGTATCCCAATGTTAAGATGTTTCCATCACTAAACGGTGGGTGGTTTAGTCTAGATGTTTAAAAGCAATTAACGTAATTAATCAGTATTAAATAGTCAGTTGAATTAATCAGTGTTAAAGTAATCAATTAAAGTAACCAGTACTAAATAATCTGCTGATGTAAGCGGGTTGGTATCGAACAAATTAAAATAGGCAGCAAAGTATTTTTTTTTTAAAAGGGAACATTTTTAATTACAAATACATTAAAGGATAATATGAATGTTGATTGGGCATTCTAATTACAGCTAAATTAAAGGATAATATGAAAGATTATTGGAAATTTAACTTACAGTAACTTTAAACAATAAAATGAAAGTTAATAAAAGGCGTTAGATTAAGAATTTAATGAAACTGTTGCTGTACTGTAAACGAACGGAATTCTTCTTTACACTTTTTAAAGTCAATACAAGTTATTAAAGCAGGATATTCAAATTTACCAAAGATGTACAAACAACACCAAACGTACAATAATATATCACCATGGAAACTACAAAAACTGCACCAAGTCCATAATAAAACAGCACCAAGCCGATTATAAAACAGCACCAAGCCCATTATAAAACAGCACCCAGCCCATTATAAAACAGCACCCAGCCCATTATAAAACAGCACCAAGCCCATTATAAAACAGCACCCAGCCCATTATAAAACAGCACCAAGCCCATTATAAAACAGCACCAAGCCCATTATAAAACAGCACCCAGCCCATTATAAAACAGCACCAAGCCCATTATAAAACAGCACCCAGCCCATTATAAAACAGCACCCAGCCCATTATAAAACAGCACCCAGCCCATTATAAAACAGCACCAAGACCATCATAAACCAGCACCAAGCCCATTAATAAAGCCCCACGCCTATGAATAGAAACAGGAACAAGTCCAGTCTGTAAAATTAGAAACTTTTCAAAGTGAGCACTGATCTAAGATTGTTGTCTCCTCTCCCCCCCCCCCCCCACCTCTTCCTCCACCCCAGGTTCTAATGCAAATTGCTCATCTTTCTAAATGAAGCCCTTCCGTGCCGGGTCACGTGCTGTCTATTAGCGCCACCCAGGGGCGGAAGTTGAGACCCTGGGACGGGCAGAACTACTTAGCCACTCTGCTTGTTAACATACAAAGAACTATTTTTTGCGCCTACTCTTAACGAGGCCTATTGTCCGACTGGTTTTTAGTTTGTTTTTTGTCGAGTTGATACGTTTTTTTCCCCACCTTTAAGAAATAATAAATTGCCGACTTGTCGAATGTAACAAGTTTTGATTAAGTGCAAGAAAAGTTCAAGCAAGTTTGGAATTATGCGTAACATGATATATATATATATATATATATATATATATATATATATATATATATATATATATATATATATATATATATATATATATATATATATATATATATATATATATATATAAAGTAAAGACAAACTTTGAAAATCAATGCTTGACCTTGTATGTACACGTGACAAAATGACGGTTTACGTCGGCAATAGAAAATTCCCGAGTCTGTTCATACATACATGACAATGAGACCACACACAGTGTACACTAACCTGTATCACATCTCACACAATTCGATTCGAACATGAACTAGATACCAAAATATAGTTCATGTATGAAACTGTTGATCTTCATTAAAACCTTAAGGTTTGAACTCAACTCACTATGATGTCCCAGCTAGCTACATCACCCGACCAGACACGAGCCATCAATTATTTAAACAACCCACCAGCGTGAGCACCAGGAGTACTCACCAGTTGTTGTGTAATTACAGGAGCTAAAAACGTCAACTTTCACCTGTTTCAGTGTTGGTTTCATTGGTGTGGGTTCAGTTCTGGTCCTCTGAGTTCAGGGTGGGTACCCCGACGGTCAGGGTGGGTACCCCGACGGTCAGGGTGGGTACTCCGAGGGTCAGGGTTAGTCCCCCGAGGGTCAGGGTTGGTCCCCCGTGGGTCAGGGTGGGTACCCCGAGGGTCAGGGTGGGTACCACAAGGGTCAGGGTTGGTACCCTGAGAATCAGGGTTTGTACCCCAGGGGTCAGGGTGGGTACCCCGAGGGTAAGGGTTGGAGCTAAATGTGTTGAATTAATAACAGCCGGGTAAATATGATGTTAAACAATAAGAAACTGTGACGTTAGTGTTAGCGTTATTTTTGGGGTAGGGCTGTATTGGGGGATGGGGGAACGGGGGTTGTAGGTAAAGTGTCAGGGATATGTGACGTGGGGCCGGTAGTTTCAGGGGCGGGAGAGGATGAAGTCCACCGCCAGCTGACGAAATAGAAAAAAAAGAAAATTTATAAATATAAAATATATACTTCACCCTACCTAATTTATAGGACGCCCCCCATCCTGCCGACAGTTTCAATTGTCCCCCCCCCCCCCAGGACAAAACTTTAGGGTTGATAGACGACGGGCCATGGTCAATGTGGGTGGGGGTCTTTACAAAAGGGGTCTTGGTAGATAGGTTAAACGATGGTGGGGGTCTTTAAGATAGGGGTCTTGGTAGTTAGGTAAAACGATGGTGGGGGGCTTAAGATAGGGGTCTTAGTAGGTAGGTAAAACTGTAGTGGGGTCTTTACAATAGGGGTTTAGTTGTGAGGTTTGTGTTGAATGTGTTGGTCTTTTTAAGAATTATTGTTAAAATGTCTTCGGGAGTTGGGAGCTCCTATGTGGGTGTGTTTTTATGTCAGGGGTCATGTGTAGGGGTCATGTTTGGGAAGTCAAAGGTCGCGTAGTAGCCTTCACGTTAGAAGATATGGTTTAATATAGCCGTGGAGGGGCACCATAAAGAAGTGATGATATTGCCATAAAGATGACTGGGACATATTTGGTTGAAGTAGATACGTTAGCGACGAGTGTACCATAATGATGAGACTCCCATATTTGGGTGAGGTAGAAACGTTACCATAGCGACGAGTGTACCATAATGATGAGACTCCCATATTTGGGTGAGTTTGAAACGTTAACGACGAGTGTACCATAATGATGAGACCCCCATGTTTGGGTGAGGTAGAAACGTTACCATAGCGACGAGTGTAATTATGAGACCCCCATGTTTGGGTGAGGTAGAAACGTTACCATAGCGACGAGTGTAATTATGAGACCCCCATGTTTGGGTGAGGTAAAGCTTGACCCTCCCACCAACAAACAAACGTTTAATAAAGTCCCGGTGACGTAATATAACTCCAGCTATTTTAATATCCTTCAATTTTTATCATCAAACACCTTCTTTTTTTCATTGCTCCAACGCCACCACACCCCATCCCATCCCACTTTAAAAAAATGTTTATTAAAGGCCGAAAAGCTCCCCTGTCCTTAGTAATCTGGCCTTGTATGCCCCAGCCCCTCCAAACCCCTCCCTCCCTTTCTGTCCCATACCCCCACACGACCGAGCCGAGCGCTGGAGAAAATCGATACCGCCGTTAAAAGATTGAACATACCCCGCTTGATTATACCAGCCTCTCCCTATGCAATTTGGCAATCGACGCGAAAAGCGAACTTACCGGCAGGGTCCGGCTTTCTTCACCGGAACTAGCCGGACATGGAGGAGAAAATCCCGGCTTTTATAAACCCATCAGGGCTAGGAAATCTCTGGGAGGATGGAGGTGGGGTGGGGGGGGGGGTAGGGTGGAGGTGGGCTGATGTGGGGGGGGGGGTGGGAAGGAAGATAAACTAAGGGCTTTAAAACTTCTGGAAGAATGAGGGGAGGGGTGGGGGGCTAGGTTTGGAGGGGGGAGGAGTGGAGGATTAAATTAGGGCTTTAAAACGTCTGGTAGGATTCAGGGTGGGAGTAGGGATAGAAGGCAGAGTGGAAGATTACAGCAGGGCTATGGCTGTGGAACTCTGGGAGGATTGTGGGTTAGAGTTGGGGTTAAGTGGGAAGGGGGGGAGTGGAGGATTACAGCAGGGCTATGGAACTCTGGGTCAGTGTTTCTTCCAGACTTTTTTCTCCGGGGGGGGGGCACTTGAAATTTTCGGGGGGGGGGGGCGATGGACTTTCTTTGGGGGGGGGGGGGCGGACACTGTTAAAAGTATATATTTTCTATATAAATTATATACATTTCATTTCGTTCGGGGGGGGGGGGGGGGGGGCGATAGAATTTTTCGGGGTGGAATGAGGATGGGAGTTGGGGTAAAGGGGTGGAGTGTACATGTCATTTGTGAAAACACCGACCTACCAGTGACTAGATGGAACTGATTAAAGACTGTACGAGTTCTATCTCACGTCCACCAACGAGTGTGGTAAAACACGTTTTAAGTTTCTCAAACAATTGCATGTTTGATAATTGGAGCCTGAACATTTTTTGAAGGCTCGGTATGGACAATATTTTGTTTATTGGGTAAGCTAAAGCTACAGGGTCGTCCATAAATGACGTCACGTTCCGTGGGTTAGGGGGGTCGGTCGTGTGTGACAGTCTTAGCCAATAAGAGGGGTAGGAGAGTGCGAGCACAACTGGTTGCGATATCGAAAGCTATTTTTAGACTAATTTCAAACAGCTATTTTGCATTTTTATAAAGATTTTTTGTTTTGTAAAATCTGTAAAAATCGATATAAATATCTAATTTTCCACAGTTCAGTTTAACGTGTTTGAAAGAAATAGCAACAACAAATGTAATTTTATGTGTGGGTAGTGGTAGACTTTGGACATGACGATGGTTTTGGGAGGTCTACATTTTCAACCAAAAAGGCTTTTAAAATTGTGACGATAATAAAACTCAAACAAACGACAGAAAACTGTACATTTTTATGCAATTTAGAATTGGGGTATTTACTGTATATGTTTGTAGGTGTTAGAGGTAGATAAACTGTATTGTTAAATCTGACACTAGCGTACCTCTGTAAACGTTTATTTAATTTAGAATAAGTTAGGTATGTTTGTAGATGTTACAGGTATGTAAACGGTATTGGTAAAAATGAGCGTGTACTCGATGAAATAAGTTGCTTAAAACTAGTTAACTTAACGTTGATATAGCAAGTACCTAACTAGACTAGATCAACATCCTGGTTTGTTCTAGAACATTCTAGAGCTACTGTTTGGCCAATTAGAGCTGACTTACAGTTTGACCACCTCGATTTACAGTTTGATCAACTAGAGTTTGACCAACTAGAGTTTGACCAACTAAAGTTTGATCAACTAAAGCTTAGGTTTGACCAACTAGAGTTTGACCAACTTGAGTTTGACCAACTTGAGTTTGACCAACTAAAGTTTGATCAACTAAAGTTTGATCAACTAAAGTTTAGGTTTGATCAACTAGAGTTTGACCAACTTGAGTTTGACCAACTTGAGTTTGACCAACTAAAGTTTGATCAACTAAAGATTAGGTTTGACCAACTAGAGTTTGACCAACTTGAGTTTGACCAACTAAAGTTTGATCAACTAAAGTTTAGGTTTGACCAACTAGAGTTTGACCAACTTGAGTTTGACCAACTAAAGTTTGATCAACTAAAGTTTAGGTTTGACCAACTTGAGTTTGACCAACTTGAGTTTGACCAACTAAAGTTTGACCAACTAAAGTTTGACCAACTAAAGTTTGATCAACTAGAGTTTGACCAACTTGAGTTTGACCAACTAAAGTTTGACCAACTAAAGTTTGACCAACTAAAGTTTGACCAACTAAAGTTTGACCAACTAGAGTTTGACCAACTTGAGTTTGACCAACTAAAGTTTGACCAACTAAAGTTTGACCAACTAAAGTTTGACCAACTAAAGTTTGACCAACTAGAGTTTGACCAACTTGAGTTTGACCAACTAAAGTTTGATCAACTAAAGATTAGGTTTGACCAACTAGAGTTTGACCAACTTGAGTTTGACCAACTAAAGTTTGATCAACTAAAGTTTAGGTTTGACCAACTAGAGTTTGACCAACTTGAGTTTGACCAACTAAAGTTTGATCAACTAAAGTTTAGGTTTGACCAACTAGAGTTTGACCAACTTGAGTTTGACCAACTAAAGTTTGACCAACTAAAGTTTGACCAACTAAAGTTTGATCAACTAGAGTTTGACCAACTTGAGTTTGACCAACTAAAGTTTGACCAACTAAAGTTTGACCAACTTGAGTTTGACCAACTAAAGTTTGACCAACTAAAGTTTGATCAACTAAAGTTTAGGTTTGACCAACTTGAGTTTGACCAACTAGAGTTTGATCAACTTAAGTTTGACCAACTAGAGTTTGACCAACTAGAGTTTGACCAACTAGAGTTTGACCAACTTGAGTTTGACCAACTTGAGTTTGACCAACTTGAGTTTGACCAACTTGAGTTTGACCAACTAAAGTTTGACCAACTAAAGTTTGACCAACTAGAGTTTGACCAACTTGAGTTTGACCAACTAAAGTTTGATCAACTAAAGATTAGGTTTGACCAACTAGAGTTTGACCAACTTGAGTTTGACCAACTAAAGTTTGATCAACTAAAGTTTAGGTTTGACCAACTAGAGTTTGACCAACTAGAGTTTGACCAACTTGAGTTTGACCAACTAAAGTTTGACCAACTAAAGTTTGACCAACTAAAGTTTGATCAACTAGAGTTTGACCAACTTGAGTTTGACCAACTAAAGTTTGACCAACTAAAGTTTGACCAACTAAAGTTTGACCAACTAAAGTTTGACCAACTAAAGTTTGACCAACTTGAGTTTGACCAACTAAAGTTTGACCAACTAAAGTTTGATCAACTAAAGTTTAGGTTTGACCAACTTGAGTTTGACCAACTAGAGTTTGATCAACTTAAGTTTGACCAACTAGAGTTTGACCAACTAGAGTTTGACCAACTAGAGTTTGACCAACTTGAGTTTGACCAACTTGAGTTTGACCAACTAGAGTTTGACCAACTTGAGTTTGACCAACTAAAGTTTGATCAACTTAAGATTAGGTTTGACCAACTAGAGTTTGACCAACTTGAGTTTGACCAACTAAAGTTTGATCAACTAAAGTTTAGGTTTGACCAACTAGAGTTTGACCAACTTGAGTTTGACCAACTAAAGTTTGATCAACTAAAGTTTAGGTTTGACCAACTAGAGTTTGACCAACTTGAGTTTGACCAACTAAAGTTTGACCAACTAAAGTTTGACCAACTAAAGTTTGACCAACTAAAGTTTGACCAACTAGAGTTTGACCAACTTGAGTTTGACCAACTAAAGTTTGATCAACTTAAGATTAGGTTTGACCAACTAGAGTTTGACCAACTTGAGTTTGACCAACTAAAGTTTGATCAACTAAAGTTTAGGTTTGACCAACTAGAGTTTGACCAACTTGAGTTTGACCAACTAAAGTTTGATCAACTAAAGTTTAGGTTTGACCAACTAGAGTTTGACCAACTTGAGTTTGACCAACTAAAGTTTGACCAACTAAAGTTTGACCAACTAAAGTTTGATCAACTAGAGTTTGACCAACTTGAGTTTGACCAACTAAAGTTTGACCAACTAAAGTTTGACCAACTAAAGTTTGACCAACTAAAGTTTGACCAACTTGAGTTTGACCAACTAAAGTTTGACCAACTAAAGTTTGATCAACTAAAGTTTAGGTTTGACCAACTAGAGTTTGACCAACTTGAGTTTGACCAACTTGAGTTTGACCAACTAGAGTTTGACCAACTTGAGTTTGACCAACTAGAGTTTGACCAACTTGAGTTTGACCAACTAGAGTTTGACCAACTAAAGTTTGACCAACTAGAGTTTGACCAACTAGAGTTTGACCAACTAGAGTTTGACCAACTAAAGTTTGACCAACTAGAGTTTGACCAACTAGAGTTTGACCAACTAGAGTTTGACCAACTAGAGTTTGACCAACTAGAGTTTGACCAACTAGAGTTTGACCAACTAGAGTTTGACCAACTAAAGTTTGATCAACTAAAGTTTGATCAACTAAAGCTTAGGTTTGACCAACTAGAGTTAGACCAACTAGAGTTTGACCAACTAAAGTTTGATCAACTGAAGCTTAGGTTTGACCAACTTGAGTTTGACCAATTTGAGTTTGACCAACTAAAGCTTAGCTTTGACCAACTAGAGTTTGACCAACTTGAGTTTGACCAACTAGAGTTTGACCAACTAGAGTTTGACCAACTAGAGTTTGACCAACTAGAGTTTGACCAACTTGAGTTTGACCAACTAGAGTTTGACCAACTTGAGTTTGACCAACTAGAGTTTGACCAACTAGAGTTTGACCAACTAGAGTTTGACCAACTAAAGTTTGACCAACTAGAGTTTGACCAACTAGAGTTTGACCAACTAGAGTTTGACCAACTAAAGTTTGATCAACTAGAGTTTGACCAACTAAAGTTTGACCAACTAAAGTTTCAATTTGCGTTACATTATAACACAAAATTTGCAGGATCTAAAAAAAACACAGCGACATCGAATAAAAAATAAATGTGTTCTTGATTTAATTAACGTTTTTATCATTTCATCCCAAGCTTAATTATATTTTAGCTGTAATAATAGGCAATTATTTGTTATTATATCCTGTCTAAAAAAACAAAACAAAATTGTACCTTTCGGCTGTATGAATGATAGTTCAGACTAAAATTGGGATTGTTATTTTTATTAAGTGGATTATTATGTATTGAAGACCGTTTTACAATGCAATGACCCCTTCAACAGTGGTAAGGGAGATAATAAATGAGGGCATTTAGTACAAGCTACAAAGAAGGACACTTTTGGACCGAATTTAAAGAGGTAAATCGAAAAAAAAAACTACGAGTACGACCGACTAGAATCTTCTAGAGCTTACCCGTTACAGTCCGGTGACGTAATATAACTCCGGCTATAGGCCCGTTATAGGCCTACCTATATATTTTAATGTTATACTTGTTTGAGAAAAATATTTTATACAATAGTTATTGGTCAAAACGCTTTGAGCTTTACTACACGTTGAACGATATTTGTGACCATGCAAAGAAATAACTAAATAGCTAAAACAATCCGACACATTTAAAATAACACAGACTACCAATACCTATTAGAAAAATTAAAACCAAATTATATACACTATTAGTCAACACAACACCATATTAAATGCACACGTTGATTAAGAGACTTAAAACTAAGAGACTTAAATTATTTCGTTAAAAACTCGGCTGTTCAATAGTAGTTATGTTGTTTTGTCTTTTAAAACACCTGTTTTGCCTGAGCATGGGTCTGACCACACTATCCCCTCATATGCTGACGTCCCAGGTGAACTCTACACCTACCCAAATCTGCTACACCTACCCAGTGTCCCGCCAAGTCTCAGACAACATGACTAAAGTGTGACGTCTTTTTGAATGTGCGGTCTAGTTTTTTTTGTGACAGACGTGATGTCATTTATGAATGAACCCTGAAACCCACAGTTATCCAAAGGATGACGGGTAGACTAGTAAACAATTGATAATTTGAAAGTAATTTATGATCTCGCGTTGATTCTTTATATAGCGTGGCATTATTTTTATTGCAGTACGCAAATGGTTTAACAAACGAGCCTAGTATTATTTTCAACAATATTCGAAATTTGCTTGAAATTGATTATATATATATATATATATGTATATATATATATATATATATATATATATATATATATATATATATATATATATATATATATATATATATATATATATATAGATATAGATTTTATATAGATATATATATATATAGAGAGAGAGAGGCCTATATATATATATATATATATATATATATATATATATATACTAATTGCGATATGAAAACATCCATAAAACACACACAGGAAACACACTAGCCTTCGAGTTTCTGCAAGTTCTAAAAATTGCAGACAGTCTTTATACCTTAGGGCATTGTGTAATATCTCCACCACCTTACATTTCATCCTGTTATGTTTTCCTTGGTTTTTCTTTCCCTTTTCTCAGTTTGATGGGTGTCTGAAATGTTGAGAGCTGCATGTTTGTTATCCCCCTTTTACTGTTCTCTACATAGTTATGGGACGTGCTCTAAAAGCCTGTGGTCTGTGATGAACGACGCGGAGCTGTGAAGTATAGTTGTAGACAGCTAAAGACTGGGTGCACCCCGCGATGTGTTGCGCTGAATACATACAATTTATACTTGATAATAGGAGTAAAGGGGAAAAATAAAACAAATAGAAAGTGTCTAAAATAATTTAAGAGATGGGAAAAGAGAGAGGGGATGTAGAGAGGTTGCGGGAGTGTAGAGGCGTCCAGGATAAGGTTATAAATAACCGGCGCCTCCATCGTTCTACTTGCCAATTTCCCTTTTTATATTACAGGAGGGGGGATAACCGTTGCGCGCCTCAGTGCCGGTTGCCGGTTTAGACCCTTTGGATCAGTGGACGACGCCGGCACTGTAATTGCACGCCTGTCAAAGTTTGCCGGACGGAGAGCTGATGAATGCGGTACCAGAGGTTTGGGGGAGGGGGTGGGGTCGGGGTGGTGTTGTGGAACCAATATCGATGTTTGGGGTTGGAGGAGGGGAGGAGGTGGCGGGGTAAAGGGCTAAGATTCGGGTCCTGCTATGGAGGTGATATCGATGTACGGGTCGGTCTCTTTTCGCGGGATCCTTCATCCTGAGTAGAGGCGGGTGGGGGAGGGGTGGGGATGGGTAGGGGTAAGACAAGTGGTAGAGGATGGGATAAGACTTGGATCTATTCTAGAATTTGCTGTAGACTGGGGTGGGGCTTACGCTGGACCTCAGGACGTGAGGGTGGGGGTAGGGGGGATGGATGGATGGAAGTAAAGCCAGAAAACAAATCACACTGCGAGATGTGGGGTGGGGACGAGAAGGGGTGGGGCAACAAAATGGACTCCACATTATTGATTGACTAAAACTAAAAGTATAAAGGTGATGAGTTAAGTTCAATCCCCCCCCCCTCCTAAACAAGTGTTGACATTGAGGCTGATACCCGATAGCCCGCTATAAAACACAACAATGAAAATGGGTTAGTCTATGTTACGTTTATTTTTAAAACTACAGGGGTGTTAGGGTGGGAATTTAAAAAAAAATGATAATAAAACGTCGCCAACGGCCTAGACGTCACCGGTCTAAACCGGTCTAAACCAAAGTTCCCAATGTGGGGTGACAATAAGGTCCCAAAGCAAAGGCTGGCGACAATAGGGTGACAATAAAAGGGTCCCGAATCAACATGTGACGACATGAGGGTCCCAAATCAACCAGATGACAACACCAGGGTCCCAAATCAACAATAACATTATCAAGCCGGCAACTGGAGCCAGCCCAGGAGGAGATAACACAATAACGACACAGCAGACGACTTGATGCCAGCTATGGCGGGAACTCTAGGGGGAATAAAGGCAACTTAAAAACTAGGATTTTTCAATGTGGTGACTTGGTTTTTTTGACAATTTTTTGGTCAGATTATTTTAGCAGGGAATAACTACAACGGATAGAAGTGAAGAGAAAAGAAATAATAAACAGAAAAAGAAGTTTTTTAATATTCATTTAATGATATAATGTGCTAATTTTAAGCGTTTTGAAGAAACAAATGAAGAGTATATTCATTATTTTTAAGGATCGAAAATGTGTAGAATTTAAAAGAAGGTAGGTGAGAAAAAAGCTGGGAAATATGTCATATATATTATGGTTAGTTGTGCGTATGTGCGTGTGTATGTGTGAGAATTCATTTGAGGGTTAAATATATTTATTTCTAGGGGGGTGGGGGGTGGGGGGGGGGGGGGGGGGGGGCGTGGTAGAAGTTATTGGTCAAGTGTGAGCTAAGGCATTGATTTCACGTCTACATACACTGATGGATGTTTACTCAGTGCTGAAAGTTTATCTCTGCATGGTAGAGAGTGCTAAAAGTTTATCTGTAGATGGTAGAGAGTGCTAAAAGTTTATCTGTAGAAGCATGGAGTGCTAAAGGTAGGGCGTGCAAAAAGTTTATGTGTAGAAGAAAGAAGTGGCGAAATAAACATGTAATCAAATGGTTAACGTGCTTACAGCAAGCTACATGAAGATTATATCTATAGTGATTGGAGCATGCTCTCTGTTGATTTTAGCTAGAGCTTAAGTCAAGAGAGAGAGAGAGAGAGAGTGAGAGAGAGAGAGAGAAAGATAGAAAGATGATACTGATAAGATAGTGACTGGGAATGATAGAGAGACAGGAGGAAGATCGTAGAAGATGATAGATCGAAGAGAACAAAACAACCGATAAAACAAAAAGGAAGCGAGACACATTTATTGCCTTCATTGGTCCATTACTTAGAAGGACGAAACTACCATACTCAACGAGGTGGAAAAAGACGTTTAGAACTTTTACAGTTTTGAGAATAGAGGACACAAGACTAAAAAAAAAATGTGTTTTCCCCCAAACTTTAAAAATTTGTAATGTCAAAATTCTGAACATGATGAATGAGTGTGCTGTAGAGTTTGTTTTTGACCGCCATTAATCATTTTCTCATTGGCGAGGTGAAACTCGCCTGGCTAATCGAAAATGAGAAAATAAAAAATATAAGCTCACGGCTGATGTATTAAAGATGAAATTTAAAGTCCCCCCCCCTGATTTAATGAGATCTCATCCGGGGTGTGGCGTCCTGTGGGGGGGGGGGGGCAGTGCCATCTCCAGGATATTTAACGCCCTAGGCAAAACTTATTAAAACGCCCCCTTTCACACAAATTAATTACTAAAACATATGTATAAGAAAGCAATTAACTGAAAGAGACATATTAATCTATTATCAATTGCATACACGTTATAAGTAGACACCAAAATCAAATTTTACTTGCCTCTTTCGTCAAAAAAGTTTGTACTAATTCCTTCAATTACAGTCTACGGGTCTACTTTGTACTTTACGACAATGCCCCTGCCCCCTAGAAAATTTCCCTCCCCCCTAACGCTCTCCCTAGAGAAAAAAAAGTCTGTAAAAATTCTTTGTAAAAAAAAGCATAGTTCTTGTAGTGTTGGACTTTCTGCAGACCCCCCAATGTGAGTTCCAGAACGGAACTTACCTGTTTTAAGGTTGACTGTCTTTAGTTATATTTGTAAAATGTCTGTATTGTGTGATTATGTAACTAGATGCAGGAATTTGAAATTAATGTAAAGATAAGCGATGAATTATCTCCCATTTGGAAATTCAAATACCAAAATTGTGTTCAAGGGAAATAGCTTTCACAAGAGTAGCTAAATTAACCTAGTGTAACTAAAATATTCTTGAAAAACAAAGTAAAACGATCTAAATTTCATTACGTAATAATTAGAACAAATATTTTATATTATTTATGTAAGCGTGTCAAAAGAATATATTTTACAAATTGACTACTTAACTATAGGTTTTTTTTGAAAGTCTAAATA